GGGACCCATTTTGGAAGCCTTATACATTGTTTTGGTGATTTCCTATTTCAAGGGATCGGGCTCCCGGGAATAAAAAGTTCTTGGGTAATGTTGGAGGATTTCCTCATGTTGCCACAGCAATGAGCATTGAACTGCCGAGGGTGCGACTTGTTTACAGATAGGATGGCAAGCGATTCCGTACTGGATTTCGGTACCCGGTTGAATTAGCCCTTATACTAAGGGCGCTACCTCTTTCATCACGTCCACCGATGTTCATTGCATTCCTACATTTTGGATCCGTTTATTGCAAGGTTTGACACAATAGATCAGTCTGGGCAACAAGGAAATATCAAAGGCGATGACTGAAATGTTCAAGTGAACCTAGAAAAAAAGCTGTGTTTATGCCTTGATGTTTTGTCTTGGGAAGCGGGGTCTCAGTAACGTAAGGGTTAAGAGCACGGTCCCGGATAGCATACGGGTTCGAGACCGAAGTTTTGTTAACAAATCGCTAACCCTGTGTTCATGGTTAGTACTCTTTTTGTCATAACTCATCTTTGTCATAACAACTCAACCATCATAACTACTCTTTCAGGAGGTCTCGCAGCAAAAGTCTTCCGTAAAGATACGTTAGCCTTGCGACTTGATGCGCCACCATGTAAGGACGACATAAGCGGCCAAACGGCAGACGATCGTCGAACTCTGATGCACAATGCCTCGATTAAACTTGCACGGTATGGTTAAATTTTGTTGGGATTAAGGGGGTAAGCAAAGGGCTAAGGCGAAGTGTGGCGAACAGTTAAGATCAGCTATAGTCAATTGCTGCTATGGTCTTCACTTTTTTGCCGAGCTTCGCCTCATTACCGAGTCTTTTCTTTCAGTAAGTTGAGTGAACGTCCTACTGTGGAAGAGCTTGAAGATCGAAATATCCTAAAAACTGCTGCCGTGCGATCGATGGAAGAGAAAAGGAAGCTTCTATTGAGAAAGGTCATTGTTGATTACTTTCAGAAGGTCGAGTGTATTGAAAGTTTGGATAACTTACTACCACACGCTGCATTACAGCTGAGTTTCCGTCCAACGATTGCCCAGTTGAAGGAGCAGCAGATCATACAGTTTAATGATTATGTTGAAGTT